CTATAATACCTCTCAAAATAATTACAAGAAACAAAGCACAGAAAGATACAATGAATGAATTCACTAAAATACTGGATTGCCTAGGGAAGTGTGCATTGTGATAACTCACAGTTCCAGGGTGTAGAAATGGATGACAGTCAATGGCTTCCGCGACGACGAAGAAATGCAGGAATCTGGCTTGCAGAGGAACGCTGTTATTCTGGAGGGCATTGCTGAAAGCAGAGCAGTTCATACAAGTTTCACAAAATAATGATTGAAGCCTAAATCACTTGTTTCAAAATATCGCAGCAGCTCCACACAGAGTACTAAGTTGAAATGATAGACCCAACTGTCATTTATAAGCATAAATGGTCCAGATTTAGGGACACCATTAGAATGTGATCTTGCTAGCAGCTGTCTCACGTAGGCAACCCTGTAGATCGTAAACATCCTTTGCTATGTAAATCACAAGCACACCTAGTAGATTCCAATGTCCTCCCACAGTTGTAAACATCTTTTGTTATGTAAATCACAAGCACACCTTGCAGATTCCAATTGTCCTAGAGTTATGACAATTATGACTTGTCAATCACCATTATGTCAGTTATCACACGGCAATGCACACCGTTTCTTCCCGTTTAAGGTAATATGACAAACACATAGAATAAAAGATACTTGTTATATTTGGGAATGTATGTTATTGGACTGTAAAATCAATGTAGGTATGTGTCACGTAATTTAATTGATTAAACACGTAATACGTATTCTGCCTAATGTGTCTCGTGGTTGTTTGGCAACTGGTGTCCAACTGTACATGAATCAGGTCATGGTTCAATCATGGAAGGGTTTATAGTTCTATGGTTTAATTAACAGTGTTCTGGTATGCGAGTGTAAATTGTGTGTCAGTGGTATCATAGAACTATAAATCCCATGGTGGTATACACTTGTAGGGGGCGTATGGAATTTGCATATTGGAGTGACGAATGAGTTTGCTGTGATGCAAGGTAGGTGAGTATGTGACGGAATAGAATTACTGACTGTTTAGTGAGGTCAATATCTCTTTTAATTTTCTCTCAATGTTGAACTAGTTGACATTCAACACCGGTCATAGGCTCGTACATTGTCATTAAATTCAAATAGGCAAATAGGCCCCTCTTTAAAATGCTAATGTATACAATAGGCCCCCAGGAATGAACTCGCGGGGTTGTGTGCCCGCTGTAGGCACCCTCTTGCAACAACCACTCCCATATTCCCACCACCTCCATCGCGAGTTTGTTTTTCTTCAATATGTCTGCTCTAGTGGGTACTAAATTTACATTGCGTCCACAATATGGGGTATGGTTTGCCAATGTGGTGCCAGCCCTGGGGGCCTATTATTTTTTTTAGCAAGAATGCACATGGTGTACGATTTTAATATAGAGTGACCACCCCTCCCCCTCCCGGGTATATTCACTGCAAATCACACGTTTGGTGTGTGCTGTGGTTTATCTGTGTAAATCACTGAACCATAGACTTGTTTTCTTATTTTAATGCCTATTCCTGTCGGGAAACTGCTACAAAATCCAAAGAGTGTGATAAGCCCGTCAATTCTAAATGAACAACCCCGGATCTGCACAAACGTGAGACATTCATCGAGAGTGCACCAGTTCCAAAAGTCCCAACTGTCGTTGCATATTTAGACAAATTCATGTGTGTATTTATAGCAATTGCAGTGAGGCATCAAGTAATTTGTGATGTTTTATTCTCAAATATTGCTTTCAGGCGTTCATTAATTATATTGTGTTTTCCTATAAACTACAAAGCCAACTAGTATTCAGTGAATTAAAGGTTTGTTCTCGAATAGCGTAAGGCATATCCATTCATTTCTATTCAATCAATCTTTACAATCAATTGTATACCAATTCCCCTCTGTTCAAGAGTGGGGTCATATGTCTGGTCAACTCTATCACTATTGAATAACTGCATTGCTGCATGGACCATTGATTTTTGAATATTATATTAGATGGAAAATTCTTTTTTTTTTTAATTGACCTTTTTTATAAACGATATTGTTTATCGACCTATTTTATGAATTTGGCAATATATGTCCATAGCATTTTGTGATCAGGTAAAAGCCGCATACTTTCAGTCATTTTGCTATTTGGCCATCATTCTTTATTGTAGGCCGAATGACATAATGCCATTTTTTGGCTGAATTTACCATTCACAACCACACCCTTAACAAATTTATTAACGTTCTCAAACATGTCGTAATTGTTCTCAGGGTGAGGCATTTTTTTACTGTATGGTGAGTTCCAACTTTTGATGAAATGGTTTACTGCTCGAATTGTGTTCATTTGAACTCTGAACTGTGGTTTAATAGTGCACATTGCTAAGCTGTATTTGAATAATTAAATCTGCAATTTAGTGAAACCATAAATTTGTTTGTTAAAATACATATGCCTAGGCATTCAAAAAAATGAAATGCTTGACTTTTTTTTTATTTTATTTTTTATACAATTCCATACTGTCAATTCCATATAGCAGTAAAACAAAAACAACGCTTTTTATATTGCAAAAACCTCATTCACTAAAGTGGAAAGTCTTGTTTTATGGCATGATATATATCATACACACACATAATATTTATCTGGTGTACGGGGGATGTATACTTCGTAGTTAAAAACATCAAAATTCTTTAGTTTAGACTCCATAAAAGACGTGTTTTCTTGGACAGTGCTAGAACCCCCCCCCCCCGTTCTGCATTCTCACCAGCCATGTTACTTGAGGTCATGACCTAATTGGGTGAAGTGGAGAGTCTTGCGTAAGACGGCAAATACTGCGTCACGGTTAGTAGCGCAAGGATTTTAAAATATATTTAAGTATTTATCTTAGAGTATGTTACCTCCCTGCAAAGTGTCTTTTTCTGATGTTGATGTTTTTCTAACAAAAAAACAACAACAACCAGACGTCTCTTAATTTAGAAAATAAACATCATAAATAATAGTATTACTTTGTACACTTCTATACATACTATCTAAGTCTTAATGTTTTTTTTGTTTGAGATTACAGAATTTTAATCATGAATATAATGCTGAAAGTGTATGTTTCCATGGAAACATCACCGCCAATTCTAACGCTTAACTGTAATGGTTAACTGTTAAAGTTGAGGTAAGAATCATGGGCTTGTTTTACCTCAGCGATTTCTATTTCACAATTTACACAAATAGTGTATTAAAACCACTCCACATATTAGGCAAGGACGAACTACTGACCTGTGATATAGAAAAGACCAGGACGCTGAGTTACCGGCTTTGCTTAAAGCGCGATTTTAAAACAGCAACAAGTCACAGCCGAAATTTGTTCCGGTCTGGAATTTCGAATTACATTACTGTATACATTATGTTAATGAGGTTATGGCTGGCTAAGTGATTATATCTTATGGCTATGACTTGGTAGCGTCGCATTGCCTGCTGACGTAATCGTATTTCTTCCTGCATCCTGGTACATTTTCCCGGAAATTCTGGATTTACGACAGTAACTCTTCGAGGGTACACGGTACTCGGCAATATTCGTGAAATAACTACTTCACCATGTTTGCTTTCACTATTTGACTACCCTTATTGGATAGAAAACTAGGATTGTGCAGCGATTTAGTGTGATTTTTAGCTACGCGAAAGTCGTTTTCCTTGCCATGGGGCGGTGCCACTCTGTATTTGTATTTGATCAAAGCGAATAGTGTTGTTAAAAGCCTATACTCCCTGGTCTTTTCAACGTTCTAATGTAGACTGGGGCACTGTACGGCGTACTGCTTGAAACGTACAATGTCACGTGGTGGCGTCGGTTGTGTTTGTAAAAAACTAATTTTTCGTCATGTTGAAGCTGCTGAAATTAGTTTATAGAGCCATGAAGGTCAAAAAGTCGATCATGATAATACAATTTAATAACTGCTATTGTACTAGTTTAACTTGTGTAAGATGCTTTTCTAATTAGTGTTGATATTGACTAGAATGGACAGCATAGAAAAAAAAGTAACTGCATATTTGAATTCACAACAAAATTAGAGTATTCAATGAGCTCATCTCTACTTGCGGTGTATTCCAACTTGAAGTTGGATGAAAGGATACAACTGTCAATAAAAAAAAAACATTCAACGTCAGTTGTAGTTACAAAACCAATAATGAGGGGTGGGGTGGGGGTCTTGCCCTTCACTTGAGTCATGTGAAAAAAACATAGGACCTTAGAAGGTCTATGAAAAAATCTAGTACTGAAAATGTATGTGTTTTAAAAGTAAGGTACATCAGTCTTTTTTTTTTTACATTCCTACCAAAATTTTACTAAGCCGATTATAAACTTCTCATTGTGTATCGCGAAAGAGAAGCATCAAGTTAAAAGTTAATTTCGGAATATTCTAGGTACCGTATTTCGAAGCCCGCACCCATAGAAACTCTGAATTGAAAAATTGTCATTGATTCGTATTGCACTAGACTGTCGACAGTCTTCGGGCCTAAGGTAATTGTGTTTCTTAGACATTCGAGCGCCGAAGGCGTTTTGTGGGAAATGCATTCACACAAGGGACTAACGGCACTTCATACTCCCTGTCCCGGCGTTCGCAATTTATTCACGCCTATTACGTTTATACACAATATTTATTAATAATAACAAATTAATATTAGGTACGACCGACTGTCGACAGTCTAGTATTGCACTTGTTGATAACCCTCTTTCAGTAAGAAATCAGTATCACATTTTTTCGAGTCTTACGCGATCGTAGCAGGTCCTAAAGTGCCAAAAGCCAACGTTACAAACGTGCCGATTTGCCAGCATAATATAGCGCCCTCTATTTGCCCAACTTGTTAAATAGAGGGCGCGTTACCCGGAAGTGGATGCATGCACGCCACATGACTTTAGTGATTTCTGTGCTGTCAGTTTTGTTCTCTGTTGTCACGTTCTATTCAATTCTTCCCCCTATTGCAGGTAATAACTGAGTTAACTCTCCATCATTTTTTTCAAATGAAGGGGTATTTTGCTTATACCGCGCTGTGCTAGCACAACGAGCGAGTTAAATGTTCTATCGATGTCGCGACACGGGGTTACGACTTGACGTAATAGAATTCATTGTACGTGTTCTAATTCAACGCGTTTCACAGCCAGGGAAACCAGTTCATTCAGCGTGATGTTGCAGTGGTATTAATTAGTATTCTACTTGTGAATTCCTTGTCTTATGAATGTGCAACAGTATATCTTGTTTGTAGATAATGTTATGTTTCACTGAAATTCATTCATTCATTCAGGGGGCTGCATTTTTCTGACACTTAAGGGGTAGTACATTTCGAATTCTGTGGGGGGAGTAAAGAAGGGTATTGTGTGTGCAATATTTGTTTCAGTCACTAATGAGATTTTTTTAACCATATTTCCATGACAATTTTTGTAATAGAATGTCATGCAACATGCACAGATTTCAGGTACTAGAAACAACAAACTAGTGTTTGAAGTTCAGGCACAGGTGAATTGAAAAAAAAAAAATTTTGGTTTGAGTGGAATAAAATGTAAATAAAGCGATAAAGCAGAGACAATTGAGTTTCTAAAAAAGAATCAGAGTACTGGCTATATTTGTGTAATTGAAAATGCTGTTTTATTGAAATGATTGACAATTTTCATTCCTAATGTGAAAAAGTTTTGTAACATTCAGATTATGTTATTTACTTGCTTTCATCATTATTATGCATTATTAATGCTGATGGATACTGAAAAAAAAAAAAAAAATTAATTGACAATTTGACTTGTTGACATGGAGTGAAAAAATTATAAATTATTGATATGAATCAATTATTGATATGAATCATAAGTTTTTTATATTTGCTCTAATGAAATGGTGAATGAAATTTTGATAATTTAATCTGATTACTGTATTACCGGTAGTAACACATGCTGTAACTTGATAAGTGTGTCTGTGGTCATATTTTGATGGTCTGTTTACAGTATAGGCAATTTTTTGTTTATGTGAGCTTCTAAAGCCTGTAATAACCCTAGATCTCTGGTGACATAATACTTGGTTGTACTGGCGTTATAAACTTTATCATATTCAGGTACCTTGCGAGTTACAGTACAGACAAGTGTAACTAATCATTTGGCACTGATTTTTTGTGGTTTAACCTGGGCTTTAAAAACCACCATAGATAAATTTTTGGCAAATAATTTGACTCGATGCCTCAGATGCATATACAGAGCAACATTTTATAAAATGCCAGTTAGCTGTTGGCCATCTTGGGAGTTAAGCTTCACTCGGTCTGTACTGTGCAGCTTCCATTATGTAATATATATTATATTCAAACCAGATCTCGTCAATCTCTGGGATTGGATCACGGAATACTTTTATCAGTGTTGTTTAAACAACTAATCTGTTTAACGTTTTCCCATTTTCTTTTTAATCCAGTAAGGTATTTAATTGAAAATTAATCCAATAAATAACCGTTCACACTTAACTTAAATTCACTTTTATTATATTTCACAGAAAGCTGTTTTGACGCTTGACCCTGTGACTTTGTATTTGATATAGACGTGATGTCTGAAGACAATGCCAAGGTTAGTCTAATTGTAATGTGGTATATGTATATGGCAACTAAGGAATGTACTTGAAGAAATTGACCCCTAATAGACTGGACAAAAATTACAAATACATGTGTATAAATAATGTCTCAGTTTAATAGATAATTAGTTGGCATATAATATTTGAATATATGGGGTATAAATAAAAACATTCATATTTGATTGATTAATTTGAAAATGTCAATGTAGAGAAGTGTGTGCACAGTTCACTTGACAAACCTGATGCCAGGATGGTCAATGATCACATCAGAGAGTTGGTCTTTATATACAGGTCACTTTACATGTAAATTGTTTTGGGACTACGGTATTTAAAGGTGGTCACATTAGACAGATAGTCTTTATATACAGGTCACTTTACATGTAAATTGTTTTGGGACTATTTAAAGTTGGTCACATTAGACAGATAGTCTTTATATACAGGTCACTTTACATGTAAATTGTTTTGGGACTATTTAAAGGTGGTCACATTAGACAGATAGTCTTTATATACAGGTCGCTTTACATGTAAATTGAATTGGGACTATTTAAAGGTGGTCACATTAGACAGATAGTCTTTATATACAGGTCACTTTACATGTAAATTGTTTTGGGACTATTTAAAGTTGGTCACATTAGACAGATAGTCTTTATATACAGGTCACTTTACATGTAAATTGAATTGGGACTATTCAAAGGTGGTCACATTAGACAGATAGTCTTTATATACAGGTCACTTTACATGTAAATTGTTTGGGACTATTCAAAGGTGGTCACATTAGAGATAGTCTTTATATACAGGTCCTTTACATGTAAATTGTTTGGGACTATTCAAAGGTGGTCACATTAGAGAGATAGTCTTTATATACAATTCACTTTACATGTAAATTG